AGAACAGCCTCTGCACACTGATTTGGGTCACGGGAAGTGCAGTGCGCGTTCTGAAGGCACCCAGAAGGTGCTCGTTCGTCAACAGCTCCCGGAAGGCGGAGATAATGGCTTCGAGCGTCGAGTTGGTCTTGGCACACGGTAACTGGCGTACAGTCTCAAGACTTGCCTCCAGCGACGATCGGCACCGTCTCCTGTTGAGTTAGCGACGGTACGGCGGGTTTTCCACGGCTGGTTCTACGTCATGCCCTTCGTGCTGTTGTCAACACTACTGGCGTTCTGTTCCTGAGGCTCACCTGCCGCCTCAACTCCTGGGACTCGCGCGACAGCTCAGCTCCTGAGGCTCACCTGCCGCCTCAACTCCTGAGACTCGCGCGACAGCTCAGCTCCTGATGCTCACCTGCCGCCTCAACTCCCGAGACTCGCGCGACAGCTCAGATCCTGAGGCTCGCACGGCGGCTCAGCCCGCCGCCGCAACTTGCCCGCTCACGGCACTTTCCCGGAGACTCTCTCGCCGTCTCCGGTACCATAGGTACATGTAAATGGCCCACAGGAAAACCTCGCACTTGCAAATCTTGGCCTAACGACGGTACACGACGTCAGCGATGCTGACATCGATGCTGGTCTGGCCTCTGAGCAGTCTCCCCTTTAGCAGCATGCGTTTCGTCGTGCACATGTACGGAGAAAGGTTTGTTGGCCGAATGCACGTCACTGTGGCCGTTGTCACCCCAGAACACCCTAGGCCTGCAGCAAATGCGGCAATATTTGGGCCGACAGTTGCGGCCGTGATTTGGCCGACTCCAGACCCCCAATATAGCACACAATAGCACGCAGATCTTGCGATTCAGACAGCATCTTATCGGTGCTACCTCATTGCGCCTCTGCGCTGATGATCAATAATCTAAGTCGAGGATCGGTCGTACTCTGGGTAGCGGTTGAGGCGGATGCGGCCGCTAGCGTTCATGCACGGAAGTGGACCACGGAGTTCTGTCTTTATCTCGTCCCACTTGACTACTGCGGCCTCTATTATCAGGTTTCCCACTGCATTTCGTTCGAGACTAGCCATAAGCGTAAGGGACAGTGTTCGAGTGTGCTCTTCATTCCTTCTCCCGACGGTGTCGCCTGTGACAGGTCGCCGCACACGATGAGGTAGACCAGGTTCGTCCGCTGTCATGTTGATGACAATTTTTGATAATGAGGAACAGTTGGAGGCCTCCTCTTAGCGAGGGACACGAACGGCGGACTGAACTAGAGCTTACACAGACACTTTCTCAATCTCGACAGCACGTTCATCTCCTAAACATTTATGGATGTCACTGTGGGTTTGTTCCATGATTTGAAAATATGACCTTGCTGACATGCCTAGCATTCTGACCGCACTTACGGGGAACTACGCAGGAAATTCGAATGAAGCCGCGTCTAAAACTGCATGTTTTAAGAAAACCTTGCGTGCCGTAGTCGTGCGCAGGCTCCACGCAAGCGCAGTGCAGTGTATCATGTTTTCAATTAATCTATGACGCCGGTATTTAGTCACGTCCATTTTAATGCGTAAATGAAAGGGAGCATGTGCCGCCTGGTGCTTTAAACCGTTGGTCATTGCATACGCCGCTGCTGCCGACCTAACAAACGTACCCACCAACCGTGGTTTGGAGATATTTACACGCTTTACGTTTCTTGGACACACGACGACGCGAACGGAGATCCGGACTCGGAGTTAGCTGAATTCTAGCGACTCCGACTCCACTTTGACTTCGGCCTCCGTATCGACTGCATAGAGGCTCCGTCTCCCCTCTGACTATAACTCCGACTCTGACTCTGACTCCGCAGTACTGCTCAGTATTTCCGCAAGGGTGTCGAAGCGAACTGAAATGTCGGCCGCGAAGTATACAGCGCATGCGTGCGTGCGCGTCTATGCCATCAGCCCCCAAAGTCCCCGGAATAGGGCTCCAAAAATAATGTTTATCTCTTAAATTGAAGCATGTCCAGCTGACAACCACAAATATTGTTATGTCCTAGAAGAATGCGTTCTTGAACCCACGCTCATTGTGCCCTGCAAACAAAATGATTTGAACTGCCTATCCCAAAGAACGCACACAAATCACTTTCGATTTCGATACCTTCCTTTCTTTGTCTCGGTTGAACAGTTTTAGTTCGAATTCACCAGCATTGTGACCATCTTTGAGCATTTTGAGCCCATGTCGTTCTCCACCTTAAAAACCACGCACGGTCTGCAAGCGGTGGATGCTACGCCGCTGCAGGGAGCCAGAATCGCTTTTGAACTAGGGTGTGAGTGAAAAATTCCATCGCAAAAAGACCACGCGGGAGTGAAAAAATCAATTCGCAAAAGATGAAGCTTATGAGCTGGTGACTTTTGCTTCAGCAAACAAAGACATCCATTTTAAGTTGGCATGGACGTAACAACAGAAACCTGACCAAACTGTTTTGCTTTTAACATCTTAGGCCATTTAAGTGAAACACAATACCTTAAAGCATAGTAATTTCTTGCCAGTGTAGTGAGCATAAAAATTATCAGTACCAATAATTTGATGCTGCACTTTGCACTCCCCTTCCACAGCACTTTTAACACAAAACAAAGCAAAGGAATTCAATATCAGCCCATCACAAAGTCAAACACGATAGGCATACCTCTGGCTTCTGTCAAGATGGGGTCAGGGAAAACAAACATTGTGTCACTGTTTTTTTTATTATAAAATACCAATGCTTATTTCCATGAAAGTAGCCTAGCTATGCCGAACCCTAAGAAGCCTTACTTCATATCATCCTGTCTAACCTGTTTGTATCACAGCAGCAGTTGTGAGTTACTGATTCTTGCACAATTCCTATTGCCACTTTCCGTACACTTAACCAGCTTAACCTAACTTAGAGTAGCCCATATGTTGAACATCCTGTCAACTCACGCATCTGTGGACAGCAGCGCTTGTGATAAAACATGATAAGGCTAATTTTTGATTGGTTTCAACCTGCATTTTTATTCAGTTCATTTGTGTATGCTTGTTGACATCAGACAAAGTTGACAGCACACAAATCAAAACACTTCAAATCACTTTGAACAACATACTTTGATTGCCGTGGTTAACCTATGCCAAGGGCAATAATGGGTATGATCCACAAAACAATCTTCTCCAAAAGTAACATTACTTTTAGATGACCATGCCAGTATTGCTGCTTGCCTTTTCAGCTGCAGCAAAGGCGTCTATTAGGCTTGTTAATTCATATTTAACGACAAAATTTGAGATGTTGGCTTCACATTTTAAATGGGATGGTCTGACTATTTGTCACATACTAATATTTAACTCAAATTATTATTGATATGCAGCTTAGAGTACCCCTGTGTTAAAAATATAGCGCATGTATACAGTACAGACATTTGCCAGTCAGCAAGCCATGACAACTATAGAAAACATCTGGTTCAAGCAGCCATGAGGGGCCGCTTCAAGAAATTTAGGGCAAATAATCAAGAATATAGAACAGAATAAGCCCATTGCATTCCTTGTGGCATCGTAATTTGTCTTACGACAAAACTCGATGGATTAAAACAGAAAATGGTTAACTCTGGTTACCAATCATGTGTTGAAAGCAGGTAAGGTAAGCGAGTACTTGGTCCACAGGAGACTTACTGGCTTATTCCTGCTCCCCCAAAACAAAAAGTCAGTACCTTTTGCATGGTCTGCTGGCAGACCATGCAAAGAGTCATCCGACCCACACCCCAAAAATAAATATCGGCCATGCCCACCAACCTACGAGATTAAAATGCGAAACAAGTAAGAGGTGTGCACGATAAACATCTCCAAAGGGCAGAGCTCGCCATCAAACACTTCTGTATTAGCTGCGTCAGGTCTGTCCCAGAGCTCTGTATCGCAGTATTAGGATAGCCATGTCAGGTAGCCTGGTGAGTTAGACACCCGAAAGGCTTAGATTTATCATTATTGAGCACCGCCATGAACCAAGAAAACGGTTAACCGAGGGTTTAACAGGGCAAAAATGGTGGTAAAAATAAGTTCCATATTTCAAATTGTCTCCTTCATTCCCAGTGAATTGTTCATTCTCGGGTGCATATCAAACATATTTGGGCGGCTGGCGAATTAATCCAATGCATGTATCAAATACGTGTAAGTTGGCAGCTGGAGCATCTTGCAGAGAAATTGGTCGACATTTTAATCAGCAGATGGTACCTTAAAGACAATCGAAAAGGAAGGAAGAATACAAGTGGCGTCGCACCCGTATGATACCAAGAAAATCAAAAGTAGTTAAATAAATATACTGATACTTTTCAGGGAGAATTTTGTAACCGGCTGATTTGACTTAAAATCTGTAAACACGAGTGCTCAAATGGTGAAATTCATCTTGTAAATTTAATTCAGAAGACATTTCTTGAACTCTTCACTCCTGCATTTCGGGAGTGATGCAATTTAGTGGTCACGTTTCCTCGGGAAAAAGAAACAAGTGGGGTAAAATTATCTACCAAGCCGTTATTGTTCTAAATAAATCGTGGTTCCGATCAAACGATCCAAAAATGCCTTTCCGTTTCTAAGCAGCCTTACGTATGCCCGTCCATACCTCTAATATAAGTCCAATTTCCACTCAAGTTTTAAAGGCCATCAAGCAGCATGCACTGTCAATGTAAAGTGTAAACAGCGCGAGCGCGTTAGCCCCGAACGCCCATCTTTGGTGTGCATCACACCGGCAGGAGTACGGAGTGCTGTTTCAGGCGCCCCTGGCCACCCACCTGTGGTGCACATGGCACCGGCAGGGGTATGGAGCGCTGTCTCAGGTGCCCCTGGCCACCCACCTGTGGTGTACATGGCGCCGGCAGGGGTATGGAGCGCTGTCTCAGGTGCCCCTGGCCGCCCACCTGTGGTGTACATGGCGCCGGCAGGGTGGTGTACGGAGCGCTGCCTCAGGTGCCTCTAGGCACCCACCTGTGGTGCACATGGCACCGGCAGGGGTATGGCGCGCTGTCTCAGGTGCCCCTGGACACCCACCTGTGGTGTACATGGCGCCAGCACGGGGAGCAGAGCGTCGTCTCAGTTGAGCGGCGGCTGCGCTCGTGCACATCGCGTGCGGCCGGTAACCGTCACGCCCCGGGCCATGGCGTCGCGGTGCGCCCGGCGTGCCCCGCTCGGCAGCGCCGCCCCGCGGTGACTGCGGCTGAGACGTCCCACGGGGCCGTCGGCCCGCCTGGCGCACCCAGTCGAACCCGGTCGGAAGCGGGCAGCCCCGCAGCGCGACACGAGGGCGCGCGCCGAGCACGCCGCGGCGGAGGTCGTCGGATCAGGGCATCGGAGGAGGGAGATGTGTGGTTCGAGTGAACAGACAGTGCGGGAAGTGACTAACCGAAGCCGAACTCAAATGTATGCGCGTGAGATAGCGCTATGATTGGGCTGGTGTCAGCGAAATATTGACGCTTTGGAGTTCTGTAAACGACGCTGAACGAGTTCTGTGGTCCTGTGACCAGTCCCGGATGCGTTGTAAGTTTCCGAACCATGCGTATGTTCGGTGCATAATGCAGGTTTACATCTGCTGACGAAAACGTCTGCCCTGGTTTTCTCGGGACATCAACGAACAGAAGACAGACAAGATCGACATCGATTCACAAAGCACCCTTCGTTCTCCGCACTTCGCGTAGAGACACCTTCTCTAAGCTTTGGGGCACTCATAACCTCATCAATACCCATCTGCCAAACTCGCGCGCCATTCCCGAATTCTGTTAACGTCATCAGTGTGCCTAGACACCCACGATTACTCACGTGCAAGACAAATGTGACACACATTATTACACATGCGAAGACGTCAGGCGCTTAGTAGAGGACTGCGCGGATTCGATGTATCCACTAGCGGCTGCTGGATGAGCCGGGCGGATTAGACCAGACCAAAAATTTTAGGTAATATGCAAGTTAAGAACTGACCGAATTGCGTAATTTTTCAAACAAAACGGACTGAATGGATTGAAAAGCAATCGTCTTTCAAACAAACAAACCTGATTTATAACACCCGTTACATAAGTACTATGAAACAATATTGAATCCTGAAATATGTTGAATGCAATCATCAGCAATGAAAGGGAATCCTACATTATTGAGGCAAGCATGTCTCTGACTGGGGCCTTCAACAGAAATTACTACTTGCAAATAATGGCAGTCGTTGAGAAGTGGGTACCAAATGAGGTGCCATGGTAAATAATGGTTGATTGCTAGAAATGTACCTAAAATGCACAAGGCAAGTATCATATATATTCACACAATTAACAAGCCGATCAATAACAATTAAGTAGCTTGTGTTAATTATGTCAACCGTTTTCATGACTGAATGCCGCAGGGACAAGTTTTTAAAAGGTTTTTGCGGTATCTCTATGAAGGTTTAGTATACACTGAATGCTCCGTCAAGGAATGTTGTTCTCAGGCATTTGCTTTAACACGCGCTCGGGTGGGGGTCAAATTGACCCCTCCAAAGTTTTTCCAGAATGGTTTCCGAACGGGGCGGCGTAGCCACGCCAACTTTTGCATAGCTATAGACAAATTAATAGCGGATCGTTTGGCACCAAAAATGTAGGTGTACGTTGTAAGGTCACTGACCCATGGCAGGTCAAAGTCAGGCCATGGTTTCAGCGAAGGCAATTTTTGGGGAATCCTTCAACCTGATCCAACAACAGAGTGTTAGACGAAGCCATACATCTCTGAGATGCTTTCTTAGGTACCACAACAGTTGTATGAACAAATTAAACTGCCCTAAGGTCAGGTATGAAGGTCACACCAAGGTCAAAACCGACATGTTTTGTTACCCTAGGGTTTGCTGTATGGGATAGTTTCTGGTGTTCATTTCGAGTTTATTGATAGCAGGAACGGCGTTATGTATCTTCCACGGACTTCTTAGAGGTCAGAATAGGTCATTGACTTAAAATGACCCAGGTCATCTTTTGTTTGAGAAACATACTGCCCAGCGTAGTCTTTGTCGTTTAAGCAAATCCAAAACTCAAAGCAATCTTGCATGATTTTGGTCACTTTGACCTTAAAAAGGTAAAAAAAGATCACTGAACTTGAAAAAGAATGTGAAATTTTGCTCACAAACGGTTACCTAGGTTCTGGGGTACTTCGAAGACCAGCCTGGAACTTGACCTTGTTTGATCTTCTTTGACCCAAAGGTCATGACCTAGAAATCTGGAACTTTTGACCTAAGTGAGTTCACGTACAGGTCAACACACCCTGTAAATTTGGTGTATCTAGCTTTCTTAGTTCCCGAGATCTCGGGGGTGGGTCAAATTACCCCCTCCCCCCACCCGAGCGAGGGGTATCTAGCCGGCCACCCGGGCGCGTGTTAACATGCAAAATGTAAGCCACGCGCATCTAGTAAAAAATAAGCCTGCTATATAAAACGGGACCCCTTCAAGACATTTCTTCAGCCCATGCCTTTAATTTATCCAAATTTTAGGAAAATACTAGGCAGGCAGCCATCAATGTGAATGGCTGGCAACGGTCGAGGGCGTTGGATGCTGACTGCGTCATACATCGTTTACATCGATGCTGCGGAGAAAGGCAGGTTTAGAGGATCGTTCCATTCGATGATTAAACATTTTTTGGATTGAGGATGTAGAAATTCATCTTGGATCATGTTAAGGTATGTACGCCTTGCAAGCTCTGTAAGTACTGCAAGCAAAGAGGCACAGCACGCAAATAGGCGAAAGTTACGCTAAGGACAGCCAAACGGGCCAGGATCTTGGCAGATGAGACTTTTACAGTGCTGATCGAGAGGTCTGCAATGGAGAGAACACCAGAATAATGGGCAAGGCTACTCAAATTGCCGCACATCGCGTGTGCTATACCTCCAAAAACAGTGCTTGTCTTGATGGTGGCGTCTTCGTTGACCTCCAGGATCAGGGGGTCAGATATCCCTGCATGAGTAATTCGTTGCACCAGACCATACACCGACGTCATGTGAGACTTCCTGGGCAACCCTTCGCGATCCAAAACGGCACAAGCCACGAACATCTGAGAAAAAGCATCTCAAATTTATCAGACGGCAATGTCCGAGGCGCCATGCGTCTTCTAGCCTCAAGCGACGAGATCGTCCAGCATTCTGATGAAGTGATAGAGAGCCCTAAGTACAAGCACCCTATCACTCCACCAGATCTAAGTCTCCCGCCCGGTCCGGACGAAAGTACCCAGCCACATTTGGCCAGGGAAGCTGATGTCGCACCTTTCGCCTCCCTCAACACTGGTTCCAGGGCAGGGCTAGATGGCTTGAGACCGGTCTATCTCAAAGATCTGACTGGCCGATCTGCGGGAGAGGCTGCATCACGGCTCACCACTGCGCTAGCGGGACTGGTTAACCTCCCACTCAATGGAGACATTCCACCTTCGGCTCGAGCAGCTTTCTGTGGAGTCTCTTTGAAGAGCTTACGGAAGTCTGCTGGCGGCCTTAGACCGACCACGGTAGGCTCCGTCTACCGTGGGCTTACGGCTAAGGCAGTCCTCAAGCCGTAAGTGCTCAGCTGGACCACAAACTGAGTCCCGTCCAGAAGGCTGTGCAACTACGGTCCACGCTTTACGACAGCTCTTAAAAACCGGGGGGAAGGCAGCGTTGTCGTAAAAATCGATGTGCGCAATGCTTTTAACACCGTGCGCCGTAGCCATTCTCTTCGTGCCGTGCAAGAGGGCGCACTTTCTCTGTGTCCATTTCCCTGGCAGGCTCATTCCCAGTCCGCTCCTCTCTTCCGCGGCACCGTCAAGATTATGCCAGCTACTGGGATGTAGCGGGGTGATCCATGCTGGTCCGTCGTGCTCTCACTGGCAGCTTATTCAAGTGCCAGTGCCGTCACCTCAAATTATAATTGGTAGTCCCTGGACGACGGGACCATAAGTGGTGATGCTGAAAAAGTTTGCGACGACTTGAAGAGACTGATTCCTGCCATAACCAACACCGGCTTCGATCTTAACCCAGCTCAGTGCGAGTCATCCTGCCGTTTACGACCTCCGGGCAGGTAAGGCGCTCCACCATAAACAAATCTCATCAGCTTATCCCAGGAGCCGTCGTACTGGGGAAGACGAGTTCACAGCAATCGGGGCTCTCATTACACTCGGACTACAGTTGGGGTCGTGATGGCTAAGAAGAAGGAAGATCCCGAACAAATGGCGGAGCGCCTCGAACATCTGTGCGGCTACGCATCCTTCTTCCTTCTGGAAAACAGCCTACTGCTACCTAAGCTACCTAAGCTGCCTAAGCTGCCTGCCCGCCTACCTAAGTTACCTAGGCTGCAGTACCCCCAGACGGTTTCCCCGGTACGTCGAATGCCAGACCTTCTACAGCCACTAGATGGCACACTCAAGTCGGCTCTCATCAGCATCATCTCGACGCACAGCGCTGAGTGATGTCGTCAGGCTGCCCTGCAGTCTGCGGACATGCCCGCAGTTCTGGAACAACCGGCTTGGACCGTCGCGACAGTAAACGACCAGACTGGCTGACCAGAAAACGTGCATTTTGATGACAACTGTTGGAGTCAAGCCGTCCTGCCAACAAGATACGGTTGAGTTGGGTTCCGTCGGACTTGATCTCCGTCAGGATGACCTCGCTCTTCCAAGTTACGTGACATCAGTGCACTGGAGGGACCACCTCACGAACTCCACGCTGCCAGCAAGCCTTAGCACAGGCGTGGTGCGGGAATCCAAGTTGGCAGCGGGGGACTGGCAAGCCGAGGCTGACGACTTACATGCTCCACAAGGTGACGCTAAGCGCCAGCAGCGCGCATGGGACTCCGGCCTCACAGAGCGCCATCCCAACTCTTTGCTTTCGTGCTTCCGGAAGCTAACCAGTTCTTCTGCGCCCGACAACTAAACACCGGTATTTCTGAGAGCGGTGTCTGACTACACGTCTTGCCATCCGCTTGTGCCGGTACACTGACTGACAACGAGAAGTTGCGCATCTCAATAGCACTGAGAGTTGGAGCCGATGTGTGTAACCACGCCAACGCAGATGCGGTGCTCTCACTAAAAGTATGGGTTATCATCCCTTGACAT